AGCCCGAGTGCGTGCAGCTCGGGCTGCGGGGCCGCGCTGCCGCTCAGCGGCGTTGCCTGCCGGGGTAGGACAGGGCGACTTGTCTGAGGATGCAAGGGACCTGCCAGGTCTGCAGGACCCGACTGTTCCGGGTCCACCAGGCTGGAGGCAGGGATGCTCAGGACGGGCTGAGCTGCACCAACAGCCCCGCTCGAGGCTGGGCTGCGTGGAGGGCTGTGCAAGCAGGGGAAAGGAGAGGGAACCCAGCCACCTGCGTCTGCCTCCCTCACTCCCTCCTAACCTGGTCCTCTTTCACCTAGCCTCCCCAGTTCGGTGCTGAAACGAGGTGGGATTTATAAAGGCCAAGCGCAGCTCGGCGGGGTTTGGTAGGGTGGCTGTGGGAATACCCCCTCCCCCCCCATAATTAAGTTAATCAGAGGCAGCGGGACACCTCAGTTCCACAGAGACACAGTCAGCCATGTAAGACGCTATAGAGAAGACTGACCTGAGCCTGAGGAGACCTTCTTGAATGACCTCATCGTCTTCTGAGGAACCTAAAATCAGAGAGCTGGAGTCAGTACTGCGTAAGTTGTGGCAGAGTACCATATTTAATTACCTCTTCTCCAGTTTAACGGCTCATTAGAAGGCCGTAAAATGCCAGGGCATTGACTCTGTGAAGTGACCTGTAAACTTATTAACTGCCTGAGACTCACCTAGCTCATCAGAACCACGAGATAACCAAGGCGTAAGACAAAAATCAGCCGCTGCTTTTTTTTTTTTTCTCTCAACTGTCTGTAAAGGCTTTGCCCCTTTCATTGGTCTCTTACGAAAGCCTCGCAGTCGGTGACAACAGAGGGAAAAGACACAGATTTGCAGGATGTCGGAAGGTGTTTGTTTCCTTCATCAATATTTAATTGCAATCGGTAACCTAAGAAGTAGTCGGTTGTCTTCTACTATGCTTAAATTGTACAAATTAAGCAATCAATCATACCTTCTATATGGTTCTTTAAAAAAAACAATAAAAATGATTCTTTGGGATTCTTTCATGGTCAAAATTGTAACTCGATGCCAATTTCTGAGTATGAATAGAAAAACATTTTCAATTACGCCACTTATAAAACTGCAGAATATAATCTGTAATAATATTAAATTCTAGGTCTCTGTCTGAATGAAACCCATTAGTCATAAAAACACAGATGTGTGACTTGATTGATTGAAACTGCATGAAACTCCTTTCGATCCAGCTGAGCACGGCCTTGCTAATTTTGTAGAACACCAATAAAAATATTGCGCAGCAAATGAGTATTGCACACGGCAGGACGCATGAAAAAGACCTTGGTTTTGGAGTAATCTTATTACTTAGGCTGTCCAGTTTGCTTAACGAAGGAAAGATGAATAAAGCTGACCTGCTACAAGCCTGTCCTCTTGTCACCCTCTACTGTCTTTTGAATAATCTACTTTAACTAAAACCCATCCAAATCAAACAAGGAATTGCATTATCCTCCTGTTTAGACACAAGCCCAATTCTCTTCTCTTTTAGAGAAATCTGAGATTTGTCTTTTTCCAACTTAAGAACACATCCTGACAGTTATCCTGCTCTCTTACTAAAAACGGCATATTCCACTAGGAGTGAGCAAAGCCAGCAGACAAATGACCAAAGACAAGTCAGATTCAAATTTCTCCAACTCCTTTTCCCCTACAGCCAGTTATCCCGAGTCCTTTCCAACACCAGGAATCAGGAAAGGGGATGGTACAAT